AAAAGAAAAGAAATTGCATATTCAGTAACTGATCCATCATTTGATTCCCAGTACCAAAAAAAAAAAAAAAATCCAAATAACTGATACACTAACATGATGCACACCTATAATCACCAATGCTAGGCTAGAGGTGTGGCTCGGTGGTACATAGTGCATGCTAGCATGTATGAGGCCCTAGGTAAGATCCACAGCACCACAAAAAATATAAATAAAACCAAGCAAAATTACCACTGTGTAATTTCTCCCATCTCCACAAATCTCATTTCACACCTGTTGGGCTGCAGCCTTTGAGGGGGAGGGGTAGGATTGAAACTAGTCCCGAAAGCATGCCAGGCACATACTCTACCACTGAGCTACATCCCCATCCAAACATCCAGCCATGTCTTAAGGCATAGACAGCAAGAAAACAATGTTTTATCCAGTCCCTGTAGTTGGGAAACAAAATCAATCCTGTTAGGAGTAGGAAAAAAAAAAAGGGTAGCTGGGCAGGGTGACCAAGGTCTGCAATCCCAGCACCCTAAGAGGATCTGGAATATAAGGCCAGCTTGGGCAAAATAGTCTGGGGGAAAAAAAAAAAAAGGAAAAATGTTAAGTAACAAGAGAAATGCAAGGCCAGCAAGATAGCTCAGCAGACTAAGTACCTGCTTAGGCAAGCACAGGGACCAGGTGTTCTATCCCGGGCATGGTGACGCACCCTTGTAATCCCAGCACTGGGGAGGCTGAAATCAGGAGGATCACTATGAGTGCAAGCTGCCTAGTGAGACCCTGTACCAAATACATAAATAAGAAAAGGTAAAATAAAAGAAAGAAATGCAAAGAGAATTTTTTTTCCTTCCTGTTAACCAGGGATTGAAATCTGGACCTTGTGCTTGCCAGGTAGGCACTTATGCCACTGAGCTATCTCCTGAGCAGAAAAGTATTTTTTACAGCTGTGTATATACAATAAGCAACTAAGGTATTTACCTCAATTTAGTTTCTCATACTTAGGCTATATTAAAACTAGATTTTTTCACCTAGTATGTGTGACATTTCTCATTTAGGGTCAATAACCAGACAGAATCTATCTTGTAGGTACAGATGAGTTATAAAGTGAATCTCCATGAATTTAAAAGCAAAAAAAAAAAAAAAAATTGTTTTTATCTTTTTCAGACAGGGTTTTGCTATGCAATTCAGGCTGGCCTTGAGTTCAATTTGTAGCACAGTCTGGTCTTGAATTCTCAGTGATCCTCCTGCCTCTACCTCCTGAATGCTGGGATTATGGGTGTGCGCAACCACTCTTGGCTTTGCAAAAATTCTTATCTGAAGGGATCATTCTCATTATTCTCATACTTAATTATTTTACTTACCAGAAAGACCTGGTTGGCACTTTCACTGAGAGTTGAGTCATCTGGGCTGTCAACAGGTGTCTGACGTGTAAACTTTGAATCAAACTGACTCACATCCTCTTCAGATTGCTTTATAAAACAATTATTAGAAAATGGCAAATCTATATTGCAAGTATCAATCATGTGTGTTACAAGCTCTCAAGTTTGAGGTAGAGAATAATAGAATAGTCTTCACAGGCACAGACCAAAGAAAAAACATAAGGTAGAAAAGTATCAGCAGTCAAATTACATCTTCAAATTCTAAACATTAACATACAGGTAGTATATCTTACCATTCCTATTAAAAATATGAACATCAAGTTTGGTGCGGTGGCACATACTTATAGTCCCAGTAATCTTGAGAACTAAGGCACAAGGCACTTGAGTTCTCAGACTGGACAATGTAGCAAGGTCCCAACTCAAAATTAACAGCAAAAAAAAAAAAAAAAAGGCTGGAGATACAGCTTAGTGCAGAGGCCCTGGGTTCAATCTCCAGTACCAGGAAAAAAGCTCTGAATATCACTTGTCCCCTTTTGTAAATCTTCAGTGTGCCTAGCCCAGTGGCTAAATCCCTGATTAGTGATAATATGCTCCACTGGCCACTACAGGTTAGTAGTAAATTTGAAAGACTATTGAAGACTTAAATCACAGTTTTAAAATGTGCCAGTATGGGGCTTGAGATGCAGCTCAGTGGTAGAGTGCTGGCCTAGCACGTGCACAGCCCTGGGTTCAATCCCCAACACTACAAAAGAAACAAAAAAGATGCTTGAGTTCAAGTTTCTTTTCACAGTTTATTTTACTCTTCCATATTTCTCAAGAAACAAAAATTGTTAATAGTCTACTGTGCATGAAAATACTATATTTCCTTGTGAAAGAATGATAGTACTTAGGTTCAAAAAACCAGATTTTCTTCTTCTTTTTTTTTTTTTTTTTTTTTGATAGGATCTCGCTGTGCAGTGCAGGCTGGCCTTGAACTCACTTATGTAACTGAGAATGGCCTCCAATTCATGGGAATCTTCCCGCCTCAGCCACCTGCCTGAGTGCTTCTAGGATTACAGGTGTGTGCCACCATGCCCAGCCTTCAGATGTATTTCTTTAGTCCTCTTCTCTTTCCAAATATATCCAGTTAACACTCTTACACCAAATACAGTATGAGAAATATACATTTAAAAATTTGATTTAATAGTAAAAGATTACTGTACCGACTTTATAAAATGCACTCTTTCTGAATAAAAACTTTAAGATAAGTAATAATAACTAACTCACTAACATTATGCACTCTTAGGGCTAAGACTATGATCTCTAAATTCTACTTCCCACTTGAAGGAACCAGCATTCCTTGGAGAAATGACTAGTTGCAAGTAAAGGAATAGAAAATGTACAAAGTAAGTATAAAACATCAGTTTCCGCCAGTGTGGTAGCACAAACTGTAATCCAGCACTCAGGAGACTGAGCCAAAGGACTGACCGTGAGTTCAAGGCCAGCCTAGGCTACACAGGTGAGTTTAAAGGCCTGTCTGAATGACATAGCAAAGGTCCTGTCTCAAAAACAAAACAAAAAACCCCACATAGTTTCCTTGCTTTGTTCTCTGGTGCAACATCAGACAGCATGGTCATGGCAAAACATGTGAAGAAACAGTGTTCTAAGATGGAAAGAACTGAAAATCAGTAAAAACTGCAATGAATTAAAACATGAATATGTTAGAATGTACGAATTCATGATACAGACAAATCACAAAATTCACTGGTTAATTTTGGAACACACCACACAAGTAATTCATTATGTTGAAAACTGGAAAAAAACAATTGATTCCTTTTTAGGGAAGAAGTCAAGATTAAAAAAAGAATAGGCAGTGGGCCAGGGAGATGGTTGGGGCTGGGAAGATGGCTCAGTAGAATAAGCACTTGCCTGGCAAGCGCAAGGGCCTGAGTTCAATCCCCGGTTCCATAAAAAAACCCACAAAAACATAGGTAGTGCAATAAGACCATTTTTCAAACCTTAACAAAATTAGGGAACTAGGCTAGAGTTTCTCAACCCGAGCCCTATAAATATTTTAGAACTGATAATTCTTTGTAAGGTGCTGTCGCTGGCCCCTATTCTATAGGAACTAGGAGCATTAGTTCCTCTCAAGATATGACAACCAAAATGTTTCCCAAGATAGCCAAAATTCCCCAGCCTAGGAACTTGTGCCATGGGACTGGTTAGTGACTAAAGAAATATATATATTAGACTTCCTTATCAAATCCTTAATACCAAGAGTTTAATCCAAATCAGATCAAGCACCTAAATCTAATTGCCAATGTTTGGAAATTCACACCATGGGGATAAAATCGGCAAAATTAAAATGGGAGGCAAATTATAGGAAAAACAGGCAAGTTTCTTCAATAAATTCCCAAAGGAAGAGTTGGAGAGGGTATTTATAAATGGAAAAAAGACCTAAAAGATGTAACACCTGAACTATTTACAGTCTGCGATCAAATCTATGTTGACACAAATAAGATGAAAAAGAGAAACAGCTGAGGAAATGGTCAATTTCTAAGGTATGATGGTATAATGCAGGGGAGGCAAACCTACAGCACGCATGCTGCAGCAGGCTATTCCTATCACTCAGAGCTTTAAAGGGTTCACCATAATGTATCGTGGTTGTTTATACTTAGATAAGATGAACTGATTTTTTTTTATGCTGGGCAATAAGTACAAGAGTTAACTATCCTTGTTGAAATTTTAAAGGTCACTAAAATAACAATAACCATTGTTATCTTTCTCCACCACTACCACCTACATCCCAAGAAATAGAAAAAAAAAAAAAAGTCTTGAGGGTTTTTTTTTTTTGTATTTTAGGGAAGCGTCTACAGGGTGGGTGTTCAGGGTCTCACTACTAGATCAGACTGGTAGTGATCCACCTGTTTACAGCATCCCAAGAGCTGGGATTACAGGCATGCGTCACCATGCCCAGTCTCAATTGTCTCAGTGTGCCCTGGGGGCAGGGCCGGCACAGCAGGCCCAGGGATTGAACACCCCCCCCACCCCCCCAGCCCCCGCTCCTGCTTGCAGGTGCTTTAATCCGCTAAGATATTTGGCTGGCCCTTTTCTTGAGTTCTGAGGTAGGAGAAAGATAAGAACTAAGACACTAACTCATTTCCTCATAACCATACTGTTATGGCTTGTATTCCTCCATCCCCCCCCAATGGCATGTTAAAGCCGTAAGTTCTTCAAAATGTAACCTTATTATTGGATAAGGTCACTACAGACATAGAGTAAAGGTGAGGTAACACTGGACTAGGAAGGAACCCTAATCCAGTCTGACTGGTGTCTATGTAAAAAGGATAATCTGACTCGGAAACAACAACATACAATATAACAACCATTGTTGCATTCCTATCATCTTGTTTGTTCAAATTCTGAATCATTTCTAATTTTTAAAAATTATTTTTTATTTTCTTTAAAATAAAATTAAAGGGGCTGGTGAGATGGCTCAGTGGTCTAAAGCACCTACTTAGAACAAGCCAAGCAAAGCACAGGGACTGCGGTTCAATCCCCCAGCACCACATGCCAGCCAGCCCCGCCCCCTGGTGGGCTGGGGGGCTGAGAGCCACACACACACACACACACACAAACAAATAAAAATTTAAAATTAAAGAAAAACAAAACACAGTTGGGGGGATCTGGTCCAGGTAAATGCCATATGAACCCAAAGGCAAAGAGCTGAGGACATGCCTAAAAGCCGAAGAATGACAGAGAATGCCAGCAAACTAGCAGGGAAAAGGCATGAAACACAGTGCAAATTCAAGGCCAGCATGGGCAGTTGATGATGGTATGAAATATTTTTCTTTTGCTTTTTTCTTATTTTTGAGACAGGGTCTGGCTAGGTAGTTCAGGTTGGCCTTGAATTTCCAGAGATACACATGCCTCAGCCTCCAGAGTGCTGGAACTCCTAGGTTCATACTACCACACCTGTAATCCCAGCACTCTGTAGGCTGAGGTAGGAGGAGCCAGCCTGAGCTACATGTAAAATTTGTTGTTTTTTTTTTTTTTGCAGAACCAGAGATTGAAGTCAGGCTCTTGCGCTTGCAAGGCAAGCACTTATTCTACTGAGCTATCTCCCCGGCCCTACATGTAAGTTTAAAGCCAGTCTAAACTACACAGTGAGACCCTGTCTCAAATAAACAAATAAAAAGACCATATATTCTGAAAAGAGAGAATAAGTTCCTTTTAACTTGAACAAGTATAATGTTCCTGTCAGCTTTGAGACTTTTCCCATTCTATATAAGAACACAGCCCCTAAAACTACATACTTTCAGGAGTACATACCAACAGAGGTTTAAAGGGGGGTTCTACTTTCCGAGCCAGAAGTTCTTCCCAGTTAATGTGTCTGAAGAATGGATGAGCCTATGGAAGAACAGAAAAAGGGGAATAAACTGTGACAAACTTTTAAAGCTGCAGTTCACAAAATGAGCTTAACCTCTTAAGCAACTACACACAACCCTCACAAACAAATTAGTATTATCTTTTCTCAAACACCAGCCATGCCGATCCCTACTTGAACTTCTCCAGCATCCCCAGGACCAGCTCCAAGACGAGAAGCAGCATTTCTTTTCAGCAGCTTTAGGGGGGAAAAGCAACAATGAAGAACATTAGCCAAGCTGTGTTTCTTTTTTCCTTTCAGAATTTTCTTATTTTGCCTTGGGAAAACATAATTTATTAATTACTACCAAATACTGCCTGAGAACAAAAAGAAAATCTGTAAATTTGTACTTTGCTTTCAAAACCTGCAGGGGGTTCCCCCACCCTGTATATGTATGTGTCTTTCTATGTGTGGGTGGAAGTATTGAGATTGAACCCAGGACCTTTACAACGAGCTATATTCTCAATTCTTTCTAAATTTTTTTTACTTTAAAGCAGGGTCTAAGTCACTAAGTTGTCCAGGCTGAGCTCAAACTTGTGATCCTCCTAACTCTGCCTCCCAGTGCTGGGTTTATAAGTCTGGGCCACCATTCCTGGCTTATATGTGATACTTTATTTAAAACAGATGTTCAGTTCTATCTAGCTGAGTATGGTGGCTCATGTTTATTTGCTAAAGACTACAAATTCAAAGCCTATCTCAGCAATTTAGCAAAACACTGTCTTAAAAAGCACTAGAGGACCAGCGAGATATCTCAGCAGACTAAGCACCTGCTTAGGCAAGCACAGGGACTAGGGTTCAATCCCTGGTACCACATGCGTGCCAACACCAGCCCCACCCCGGGGGCATGCTGAGCCAGAGACCAAGTCCAGGCGTGGTGGCACACACCTGTAATCTCAGTACTGAGGAGGCTGAAAACAGGAGGATCACTGCAAGTCCAAGCTGCGTAGCAAGCCATTAAACCAAATACATAAAAACAAACTACAGAGGCCACTGTGGTAGTTGCCGGCTATGTGCAAAGCCCTAGGTCCAATGCTCAGTCTGTTGGAAAAAAAAATCTACCTACCTATGTAACTACAATCTTAGTAGTAAAGGTTTGTGATTAGAGTGCCTATTGAAGAACCCTACTGATGAACTAGGAGTAGAGCTCAGTGGCAGGGTGCTTGTCTGGTATGCATGAAACACTGGGTTCAATTCCCAGCACCACAAAAAACAAAAATACCTTTTTAAGCAGATCTCTGGCTTCTTGTGTGAGGTAGGGAGGCAAATTAAGTTTACATTTGAGGATTTTGTCAATTGTTTTCTTTCGATTCTCCCCAGTGAATGGAGGCTAAGGGTAGAAGAGAATGAGAAAAATTAGCATATAAAAATTTATTTTTTATTTTTTGATGTTTTTTTTAAATTAATTTTATTGAGAAACAAATAGCAATGAGACAGTTTCAAAACTGATTAATAGGACAGTTTCAATAATAAATACACTGTACATGCATATAAAAATTTAAATAGTATTATTAATTTTTATGAGTTAGTTATAAATGGAGACCAAAAATGTACACTATAGGCTGGGGATATAGCTCAGTGGCACAATGCCTGCCAGGCAAGCACAAAGTCCTAAATTCAATTCCTGGTACCAAAAAAAAAAAAAAAAAAAAAATAATAATAATAATAATAATGCAATGAAATGAACAAGCTAATGAAAACCTGTTTTGTGGAGTTTATTTTTTCTTTTTTGTCTTTTTGAGACAGGGTCTCTGTATGCAGTTCAGGCTGACCTTGAACTCACTTTGTAACTGAGGCTGGTTTCAAACTCACAAACAATCCTCTTGCCTCAGCCTCAAGTGCTGGGATTACAGGTGTGCTGGGATTACAGGTATGTGACACCATGCCCGGCTAATACCTGCAGTTTTTAAGCAGCAATACAGAGAAAGTAGCAAATGTGCTAAGAGGAAGCCTGTATTCCATTAACTTGCTCTATGATCATCAGTGAAATACGAGATTTTAAACCTTACCTTCTCCCGCTATAAAATAAATGTATTATCTATCCTCATCTATTCCACAGATGTTGTAAAGTATGTAAATGAAAGTGCTTTTAAAAGTATGGAATTCCATAAAGAAAATAACTCCACTGGCAGTATTTTCAAAAAGTAAGGAAAGGTCTTCTTGCTATCATGGTTTAATAACTGCTCAGCACAGACCATAACACATGCAGCTTTTAACTGTGCACCTACTGCTCCAGTCAGCATGTCATACATTAATGCTCCCAAACTCCACCAATCCACAGCACGATTGTGGCCACTTCTCATCAAGATTTCAGGGGCCCTAGAAGGAAAAAAATAATATGCCTAAAAATTCACCCATTTGTGTATCATCCAAATCAGAATTTTTAAACTGTAAAAACAACATTCAAGGCCAGTGGAGTTACAGAAAACTACAACACTATTACTTAAATTATGTAACAGGTATTACCCCCAAACAAATTATATTTCTTTTAACATGCAGCTCACATGTATTCTATTGTTCCACAGAATGTATGTGTGACTGTTCCATCATGAATAGATTCTTTGCATAGTCCAAAGTCTGTTAGTTTCACATGACCTACAATGAAAAATTATGGCAGGATTATTTTCAGTTTTAAGCACGTGTGGTGTTTGAACTTATCATATGAGACAGTGATGTATCCTTTCATTTAATTTTCCTTGAAGATGACAAGTATTAACTAGATTACCATTTAAGATGGAGAGCTAACTAAGGCTAAGACAGTTACTTTTTGCAACTCTAGTAAAGATAAAATAGAAAAAAGAACAAAACAGAAAAAAGAAACAGCTTATCTAAGGCTCTGGCTTCATCTACATGCATAATCCTCTCAAATCCTGAGAAAGAAAAGTCCTGGGAAAGCGTTCTGATGTCCTGTTTAAGTAAACAGATCCTAATAAGCATACTGTATTCTGTACCTTTTAAGTAGAAGTTGTGACAATACTTCAAATACATAGTGAGCTATGACTTAACATTTCCTTAACTGGTTTCAGAAAGTCACTTGAACAAATTAGTTTACAATGCTAAATGCTACCAGTTAGAGAAAAAGAATTAAAATTGGCACAGGATAATCATCTGTGCTCAAGTAGGTGGAATTCCTCTTTCCATAAAGATCATTTCAGCTCAAGTTTAGCTTTACTGAACTTTCAGGTGGTAACGAGTGCCTCAACAACAGCAAAAGCCTTACTATTTCAGGTTCATTTCACAGAAAGGAAAAACAATGTCCTACAGATTCAAAAGTAAGTATACACTACATTTTGATACAGTAGAATAAACAGGGCCAGTATTTTCACAGATCCCACCTGATATACTCAAGCTTATGGATCAAAGAAGTTTACTATTCCATCACTCTCATATTTTATCCTTTGCCATGAAAATTATAATCAGAATCCAGATCTTGGGTGGGAGGAGGGAGACACTGATTCCCATGATGTATCTGGTTAACAATGTCACTCATCCTTAGGGTTAGGGATATAGTGCCTACCTGCCTGGCATGTGGTAGGTCGTGGGTTCAATTCCTGGTACAAAAAAAAAAAAAAGAAACACACTTATCCTTAAAAAAAAATTAGGCTACAGCAACCATCAAAGAACAGTAGCCATGGTCCTATCCTCCCATGGCCATGGGCCTCAACAAGGGCCACAGGTGACTAAGAATGTGAACAAACTGAAGCATAGCCGCCGTCGCAGACTCCTCGCCAAACACACCAAGTTCCTGCGGGGCATGATCCAGGAGGTGTGTGTCTTCACTCCCTACAAGTGGCATGCCATGGAGCTGCTCAAGGTCTCCAAGGACAAACATGCCCTCAAATTCATCAAGAAAAGGGTGAGGACGTACATCTGCGCCAAGAGGAAGCGTGAGGAGCTGAGCGACATGCTGACTGCCATGAGGAAGGCAGCTGCCAAGAAGGACTGAGTCCCTCTGGAAGAAAGCTTTGCAGAAAGTTAAAATAAATAAATAATAAAAAATCAGATGAGCCATTTATATTTATAGCCTCAGTTATCCATACCTGCTTTCTGACCAAGAGTCTGACAGCTAACCAACTCATGGATCACTCTGCTGACATTTAAAGATCAGCAGCTTCTTCCTGCCCCCTAGATGCCCTGCTCTGCTAGTTGCTCCTGTGAGATATGAGTGAAGAACTGGCAGGTCTATGCAGGCCAAACAACCGCACTATCTGCTGAGCTTGACAGCAGCAAGCAATTGTAGTGTAGGCTCACTTTATTAAACCTATACCTGTATAAACTATTAGTCTCTGTGATGTCTCTTGTTGCCAACAAGTAGCAAAAATTACACAATGCTTAAGAACTGTTTTATTTCCAGGGCTATGCCTGTCACTCAACATTCAGGAGGCTGACACAGGAAGACTGCCATGAGTTCAAAGCCAGCCTGAGCTACTTAGTGAGACCCTGTCTCTAAAACAAATGTGTTGATTCTGATACATCTTGTGTTTTCATCATTAAAACTAGATTTACTTTTGAATTTATGGAATAAGCCAAAAATAGCTGGGCATGATAGCATACACCTATAATCCCAGCACTGGCAAGGCTGAGGCAGCAGGATCACTGTGAGTTTGAGGCCAACCTAGGCTACAAAGTGAGTTCAAGGCCAGACTGAATTAAACGGTGAGAGCCTGTTTCAAAAAGATTAAAAAAGAAAAGAAATAAACCAAAATTAGTGTTTGGACTTGCTTTTGGGTCACAAAAGAGAGAGAGAAAGGTAGGTAAAATGTAAAGAGTGGTTATCTTCAACTTTGTTTAATCTCATCAATCATACACACTTACATACTTAAACATCAGCAAGTATCATGATACCAAAAATTCTGAGAGAGAAAATGTATAGTAGCAAAGAAATGAATATGGGGCTTTGGAAATGACCTATGTAGGAAGATTTTTAAGGTGATTATTTAATATAGAACTGTTCACAATATTATCTCCACCTTGGTGATTAAGCATGATGTTTTCCGGCTTCAGGTCTCTGTAGATGATCCCCTTTTGATGTAAATGCCCCAAAGCCATGGAGATTTCTGCCAAGTAAAAGCTGAAAACAAAAGTGATTTAATAAATTAAAAAGAATAATCTACCCAAAGCAATTTATGTATGGAACAAACTTCCTTGGAAGAAACAGACATGCATCAAAGACCAAATTAGTGAGGCAAGGGGATGTATGGGGAAGGGAGATGGCACACAATGCTGCCAAAGGCATGGGGACATTTAAGTTCTACTCTTCAGTGAAATATAAAGTGTTTTATTTTGCCATTTGAATATACGGCTAACATTGCAAAGACACTCAGAATATGCTAAACTATCACTGAACATTTTCAATTCTACTTAGGTCAACAGTCATTAAGATCAAAGCAAATTCCACCCACCCACCCACAAATTTAAAATTCCATAGGAAACAGAAACTTTGTTATTCTCAGAGATCAAGTCTTGATTGAAGAAATTACCTTACAGCCTAACCCTTAGAAGCCCATTCATCCATTAACACGCTGTATTATTTACAGAAAGCAACACCCACAGTATCTGCCCTCCCTCTTGCCAGCCAGCCCACAACTATAAACTGTGTGACACTCAAATTTATCTACCTCAAAAGAATAAAGGGCTGGATCAACCCTGTCTGGATTCGAAAAGCACAGGGCACTGCAATACTGGCTGCATAACAAGGTTGCAATCCTGCAGATTACTCCAGGATGGAGAGGGTGTGTCCTAGAGGACTGAGGCAGTTTCACAGCCAGCAGGACCACAAACAGCCTCCAACAGGGCTCAGAGAGCCTCCTCCAAAAAAGGGCACTTCATCCCTAAGGTTCTTAACTGCCGCTTCTGTGTTAGAAAAGGCCTGAAATTAAACAATGGAATGCAGTTTGGTAATTAAGGTAGAAAAGACATTTTAAGTGTTGTTTTCCATTCAATTAATGTGTAGGATAAACTGATTTATTGTTACCCAGTACTGTTGCTTCACAAAAGGATGTGTGTATTTTTAATCGGAAGCAGATGCCATCTTACGAATAGGAGGGTAGATCCCATCCTGGCTACATAATCAATCCACAGGTGATATGTGCAGGCTTATCACTTCCCTAAGACTGCACCTTGGGAACTGGAAAGTCTAAAAAAAAGAGGAAATGATTTCTGATACTTTCCATTGTTCCACACATAAATGTTCACTGGAAAACCACACTCACCCATAGCCAAGGCAGGCAGCTTACCAATTCAAGGAAAGAAAGCCGCAATGAGAATGGTTCTGTTAGGAACAACAGGTGTGAAGAGCGGTCCACCCAGGCCTGGGGGCAAAGGAATGATGTGACCTCCAATAGCTGCTCAGTCCCAAAACTGCTTCTCCCCCTTGATGATCTGAGTGACTGACTGGCTCTTGATCAATTTACTGAATCATTTGGCTGCCCACAGTGGGAATGAGGCTTTACTTTTAGTTATATGAATCATTACCTGAATCCACGCAACACAAAAGTTTCACTTACCAGGCTGTATCTTCCATAAATATCCCCTCTCTCTCTAACTGCATAAATAGTTCTCCTCCTGTAAAGAAAAGGAAAAGGTATTAGAAATAAAATAATTGTTTCCAACCCACTTCTAATGAGTCTATACTTCCTTCCTAACTCATAATTAAAAGATATTAGCCCTTAAAAATAAAAATTAGATCTGAAAAATAACATATTTTAGAACTAAGTTCACAGGATTCTATTTTTTGGCAGGATTCTTAGCCTAGGTTTAAAAACTAGAACTTAGAATTCTAACTTAGAATTTGTATCTACAAACATGAAAACATGTAGACTCTAAGTCTGAAGTTAAAAATAAGAAAAGAATCTTGATTAAAGCCACTCTAACATTTTATCCACAAATAGAAAAATGTTACTAGATAATTAAACCAATCTTACAAACTTTAGTGAATGCTAACAGCCTATACTTTAGAATCCTTAAATAAGTGGAACAAACCTGGCAGTGGCCTTGAGAAAAGCATGGCACAATTTAAGCAACAAAATAAATAAAGAGTTATATTCTACAGAATAAACTTAGAATTCATGAGTCTATAACAATATAAATAGATAAATACATTTTTAAATGGGAAAGAAAGGAAAGTTCTTTTTTTACAGTAGAATGCCAAGTAATAAATGAAAGAGGCATGAGGGGATAAAGAAAAATCATTTGGCAAACATCACAGCCAAGAATCAATGGATGCCAAACTGAATATGAAAGCTTGATGAGCAATGAGATATTTTACATATTTCAAAGCATACTTATTACAAAAGAAAAATATCAAAGATACTGACTTAATACATAAAAGCAAAGTGAACATCAGTTCACTTCGATGTAAGATATAAATATCATGTGCTTCTCATCTGATGTACCAAAGAGGACACACTATCACTTTGATGCATAACCTCAATCTAATCCTAAACAAAAAAAATCAGACAAACCTAAACATTGATGCACGCTTATCAATAACTGGCCTGTATTCTTAAAAAAAGTCACTTTCATGAGAGGCAAAGAAAGACCGACAAACTACTCCAAATTACAGAAAACTAAAGAGAGATATTATACCCATGTTAATATTTGATCATTTTAGTATAGCTCATAAGATAGTGTACTTGATTTTTAGAAAATAAGCATGAACTTTTAAGAGAACAGGTAAATCACATCTGTAACACTCAAAACAATTCAAAAAAATTACATATGTATATGTATATACGGTTATACATATACATAGAAGAGGGTAAAACGAAACAAATGTGATAAAATGGTAACATTTAGAGAATCTAGATGAGGGAATATAGGAATTTTCTGTATTATTCATGAAAATTTCTTGTATGTATCTGAAATTATGTTAAAATAAAACTGTAAGAAAAAAATGGCAGCTGAGTGGTGGCACATGCCTCAGGAAACTAGGCACAAGAAATGCTGACAGTATGAGGCCAGCCTGGGCTACAAAGCAAGTTCACGGCCAGCATGAACTGTATAGCAAAACCTTGTCTCAAAAAAAAAAAAGGAGAAAAAAAAGAAAGAAAAAATAGCAAGTCACAGCAAAGTTGCTAAATCCTGCCCCACTCTCTTCAAGTGACCAAGCTATTATAAAATCTGTTTCTAAGAAATCCCAAGTATGTTTTCTGGGAAGTTATCTATGATGTAGAAATAATACCAAAGGTTAGGCAGATGCAGGGGCCAGGGTTTCAATCCCAGCCTGCCGTGCCAGCCCCACCCCCAGGGGGCACTGAGATGGTGATTGAGACTGGGCATGGTGGCGCACACCTCTAATCCCAGCAGTGCTTGGGAGGCTGAAAACAGGAGGATCACTATGAGTCTGATCTGTGCAGATCCGAGACCCTGTAGACCCTGTACTAAATACATAACAAAAAAAAAAAAAAAAAAAGAAAGGAAATAATACCAGGGGCAATGAATTCCTAGCAGATGGTAGACCTCGGAAAATACAGCCAATTCCTAATGTAAATTGCATATTCTATCACTAATGCTACACTAAAAACTTTGACAAAATCCTAAATATGTTCATCTCTTAAACAATATTTTCAATTAGTTTTTACACTCCAGTTTAGAAAGGACTACTTTAGTGTTTGAGTTATAGTATCCTACCCCAGCACAATTTGATGGCTCTACATCAATTATTTTGTTAAGTGGCTGATTAGAAAGAAATTATGAGAAAATTCTGCAAGTAAAAAAAAGCCTATCTTCAAAAGTTTCTTCATATTTGTCTGCAAATAGAAACATCTGTTCACATCTAAATTCCTTTCAGTGTATTCATCAACTTCATGAACTATCTGATCACAATGGGAAAAAACATTTTTCCACCAGAAAATAAGTTTTTGACCCAGTTTCTGGAGAAAATCGAAATAATTACACCGAACTGTGTACTGACCACTGAGATACTCAAGGATGAGGTAGAGTTTTCCACCGGTCTGAAAGGCATAAATTAAATCCACAATGAAGGGATGCTTTACTTCCTCCAGAATATTCCGTTCTGCTTTTGTATGAGCTGTGTCTTTAGCATTTCTTACTATCATTGCCTAAAGGAAAAGAGATGGTCTATAAGAACAAAATAGTGAACATTTTTATTCTATAGTAATCTGAAAATCTATTTTGTGTTTCTTGGCCAATACTGAATAGTTTCCACGAGAAATTGTGATGTGTAATGAAAGATACTCACTTCCTATACACATCTGAACTATTCATCTGTTCATTTTCGGGGGGCTTTTTGGCAGTAAATATGTAAATGAAAACCTAAAGACACATTTTCTTTTTTTAAAAAATCTATAACTAGATCAGATTTATTCAAATATTAACTGCTGTTAGGTGTCTTCTGTGCTCAGGCTATGTGCCAAAAAAGCCAAACAGGAGTGTCCATGAGAGCCCACAAAAATCAGGAAAAAAAAATAATGGAAGTAAGCAGAACACAATATGCGAACTGCATCTGACCTGGCGAAAAGTCTCTGTGGAGGTGGTGATACTTAAGCAGTACCTTGAAGCAATTAAGATGAAATGGGGAAGGTACAACAGAGACAGAATAAAGAAGAGACCTGTGGATCTGTAAACAGTTTAGTAAGGAAAAAAAATGTCTACAGATTAGGCTGGAGAAGTAGACAGATGCCAGGAAATAGAAGGCTTGCATATTTAGGCAAAGGAATTAAAATCTACTCTCAGAGGCAAAGAGGGTATATTGAGATGAGTGAAATGATTATCTTCTGGCTTTAAGAGAGACAATACTAAGAGCAGTGTAGTTTTAGGGAAGAAATGAGACTAATTAGAAGGCGCAGACTACGCACCTGTTTAGGCAAGTGCAGGGACTTAGGTTTGATCCCCAGCACCACATGCCATGTGGGCCCTGCCCCCAGGTACAATGAACCGGCCACAGACCGGGCATGGTGGCGTACAACTGTAATACCAATCCAAGCTGTGTAGTGAGACCCTGTACCAAATACATTTTAAAAAATAGGGAAAAAGGGGAAAAAAAAGAAAAAAGAAAAAAAGAAGGCTGGTATGAGAAACTAAAAAGACCTATAACTTAAAAAAAAAAAAAAGTGGAGGGCCCGGGAGATAGCTCAGTGGAATAAGTACTTGCATGGCAAGCGAAAGGTCCTGAGTTTGATCCCTGGTACAACCAAAAAAAAAAAAAAAAGTGGAAAAAATGAAAAGACTAAAGGTACATCATTTGTACTTGCGGACTAATTAAATTACATATAAGAAATGATAATATCCTGGTTTCTGCCTAAGTGATAGCGCAGACAATGGTGTTAGTCAATGACAGGGAATAAAGTGGAAAATAATTTTTTGGGGGAAAATGATGTACTATTTTGGACATTCTTAAAGTCTAAGAATATACTTTGATATTCTTAGAACTGCTACTCATATGGAAAGCAAATACCTGTACACAAGATTAGTTGTCACATTAACTGTAATACTGGGGCTAGCCAGAGAGCTCAGTGGACTAAAGTGCCTGCTTAGGCAGAGCACAGCAGCCAGGCTTCGTTCCCTGGTGTGCCCTGCCAGCCCTGCCCCCGGGGTGCACTGAGATAGCAATTGAGCCGGGCGGGCGTGGTGACGCACACCTGTAATTCCAGCACTTGGGGAGCTGAAAACAGGAGAATCACTGAGTCCAATCTATGTAGTGAGACCCTGTAGACCCTGCAGACCCTGTAACAAATTCAGAACAACAACAACAACAAAAAAAAACTATAATACTGAAAATTGGAAACAAACTACTATAAATGGTCATACTTTGGACGCTGACTGAAAACCAATGAAATCTACACAATGGTTCTTCAAGATACAAAAATAAGGGCCAGTAATATAGCTCAACAGACTAAGCGCTTGCTTAGGTAAGCGCAGGGGCCAGGCTTCCATCTCTAGTACTGTATGGCCCCACCCCTGGGCATGGTGAACCAGCCATAGAGTCCAGGCATGGTGGCGCATGCCTGTAATCCCAGCACTAGGGAGGCAGAACACAGGAGGATAATTATGAGTCTGAGCTGCGTAGTGAGACCCTGCACACACACAAAAAAGATGTGAAAATAATAAATATCTTTATGAAATGAGGACAGTATATAAAGTACAGCAACATCTATAACATGCTATCTTTTGTGCAAGAAACGAAATCATACAGGTATCTGAAAAAATGAACACAACCAAGATATACCCCAAGCTAGAAATAGTGAAAGGCCTGGAAAGAAAAAAGGACTTTTGAATATACTTTCTGAACAATCTCAATGGTTTTATTACCCATTTTTTGCTACCTAAATCATTTTTATAAATATTAAGTAGAAATGCTGACTTCTGAACCATTTTAATATTTGACATATTCGCAAAATAAAATGAAATGAACAAAGATGGAAGAAGAAAATAAAACCAAATACACCAATGATACATGAACTTGGCCCAGCATGGTGGTGCAGAGTTGTAATTACAGCATTCAGGAGGCTGAGGCAGGAAGACTGCCACAAGTTTAAGGCCAGCCTGTGCTACATAGTGAATTCAAAGCCAGTCTGAACTATATAATGAGACCTTGTCTCAAAAAAGAAAAACAGAACAAAACTATTCAATTATATGCATAGATAACTGTGCTACAGGAGAAAAAGGATACTTAAGTAACTACACTGCATGCCCTCCTGGCCAATGTGTAATTAAAAAAAAAAAATTACAAATTTTAAATCCGTTGCAGCAAGTTTGTAGCTAGCAGAGATTTGTAGCTAGTAGCACTGATAGTATAATTCTCACAGTATTATGCATGTGTGGTAAAAGTGAACAAGCACAATTCTGTTACTGATATTAACACATTTTCAGTGTGGAAAAGGAGGATTAAAATGGGCCAAGTGCTGTGATAGTGCTCCTGTTCACCATGTATGACACCTCGGGTTCGCCCTCAGTAGTGAGAAAAGAAAAGAGAAGAGGGGGCGGAGCTGAAGAAGAGTCTTGTGAAACTGGACTAGGACTAGGGTGTCAATATAGACATGACTACGACAAAAACTTACTAGCTCTGTCCACGGCAAGACTCAGGAAAAATGCCAGTTTAAAAGCAAAGCTAGGGGCCGTGGAGATGGCTCAACAGGATAAGCGCTTGACTGGCAAACGCAAGGATCTGAGTTCAATCCCCGGTTCCGCCAAAATAAATAAATAAATGAATGAATGAATGAATGAATGAATGAATGCAAAGCTAACACTCAGATAGCAGTTTGTAAGCTAGCACCTTTACCAAGAGAAATTAGAACTCCTTGGAGAAAGTGATGATTCTAAGCCAGAGTCAGGGAAAGTACCTAGAATACTCTCTTAGATAGGAAATTAACATGGTAATCAAAAATGGATGGTAGTCAAAAGCCCAGAGAACAGAGTTCTAACTAGCAAAATTTTGGGACCATTTCAAGCCAAAATGAATGATGACAGAAATTGCTAACACACTGAGAGAGAGAGAAAAAAAAAAAAAAAAAAAAAAAAACCAACAAATTTTTTTTTTTTTTTTTTTTTTGTGGAACCGGAGAGTGAACTCAGGCCCTTGTGCTTGCCAGGGAAGTGCTTATTCTACTAAGCTATCACCCCAGCCCCTTATACGGATTCATATTTTTGTTTTCTTAAAAAGTAAATAAATAAAAATAAACTGTGTGTTTAGGATAGTCTTAAATTCCTAGGCTGAAGTGATCTGCCCATTCACCCTTTCAAGTACATAACTGGGATTACAGGAATTCATCCCTACATCACCACAGCACTGGGGATCAAACTCAGGACCACGCACTTGCCAGGCAGGTGCTCTTGTCACTGAGCTATATCCCTGGCTGTAAAAAAATTTTTCTTAGTAACCACTTATTTTTATTTCTTTGTGATACCTGAGCTCAAATTCAGGGCCTCATGTATGTTTACTTACTCTATCCCTGAGTCATACCCCCACACCTAAAAAAAACTTTTTTAAAAGAAGGAAGTACTTAAGAAAATGCAATACATGAAAATAGCAAAGTCACCATTTTATAATCACTACAGTTAATTGCTGAACTGGGCAAGAAACAATGAATGATAAAATCATTGGGACAGGATACCATGGGCTCTCTATCATCCCATAGATCGCTTACTAATTACAAAAGCAAAAAGGTACAATTGGGGCTTGCTGGTTAGCTCAGTTCTGTAAGCACCTGGGCAAACCCAGTCAGGTGCAGGAGACCTCTTTTTTTTTTTTTGTTTGCTCTGGCCCTTGAGCTTGCCAGGCAAACGCTTATTCTACTGAGCCATCTCCCAGGCCCTTTTTTGTGGAACCAGGGATTGAACTCAGGCTCTTGTGCTTGCCAGGCGAGCTCTTATTCTATTGAGCTAGCTCCCCAGCCCCAGGACCCTGGTTTGATCCCCAGCTCCACATACCTTACCAGACCCACCTTTACAGCAGCCTGAGCCAGCCAAAAAAAAATACATACAATGAAAAATTTGCGGGGCTGGACGATGGCTCAGTAGAAGAAGTGCTTCCCTGGCAAGTGCAAGGGCCTGAGTTTAATCCTCGGTTCCGCAAAAGGAAAAAAAAAAAATTTGCTGGACATTCTCTTAACCAAGTGGTCAAACTCAACCTTACCAAATAATGAGATAGATATTCATTCATACATGTCTTCAAGTTGGTCCCATGGTTGTGGTTATTGTTAAACTGATTAACATAATATGTCTTCTGAATTAACAGATTTTTATTTTTTTGTATGTATTTGGTACATGGTCTCACTACACAGCTCTGACACTCAGTGATCTTACTATTCTCAGCCTCCCCAGTGCTAGGATTACAGGCGTGTATCACCATATCCAGACTCAGTCACTGGCTCAGTGCCCCTGAGGGTGGGGCCGGCATAGCCTGTGGTACTGGGGATCAAATCCCGGGCCCTGTGCTTCCCAAAGCAGGCGCTTAGTCTGCTGAACTATCTGCTCGGCCCTACTGCATTATTTTTGAACTACTTAAGAGGTACTAAGTTTTTGTGTGTGGGGCCTGCTTATCCCACCCTGGGGGTGGGGCTGGCACAGCATACGGTGCTGGGCATCCAACAATGGTCCCTAC